TATATATATATATATATATATATATATATTAAATAGAGAGATTATAAGAAGGTTTACAAAAATACAAAATATTAGTTGTGAGTTTGCGTTCAAATAAAATATCTTGGTGAATTTTGTAGTCACGACGCGGATATACGGCTTTTGATCCGAATAAAGAAACAAATTGGTCGAAAAAGGTGATTGAAACATTAATCATGAGCATCATTATTTTGAGAAATAGCTTCGGCCTCGCTATTTACAGAATTATTTTAAGAAAATTACATTGACATCTTTTGATAATGGTTTTGCACTTATGTGAAACTATGAGCTGTAGCAAAAGTATTTGAACCAATGAGTCTATGCGTCTAAAAAGTAAATTTGCAAAATGAAGGAATTGTCCAATAGTTCAAAAATATATAAGACATTAGTAGTTTAGTTTCACTACAAATAAAATAATTTGTAGTCACAGAAAAAAAAATGTATCACTAAAAATTAAAATTTTCATAAATAAATGCTTATTTTACATTAATTTACAAATCCATTTAATTTGTATAACAATGATATTTTGGATTTTATTTACAACACACAGTTATAAATATAAACATTAATGTTAGTATCTCCAAAAAGAAAGAACAACTTGCATGCATGAAACTAGCTAATAGAACAGCAAGTTTGGTATATTCAATGTATAGAATTTAATTATGTATCCCCAGACACGATTACTGTAGTTTATGCCAATGAAGATACGATATTAACAGAGAATGAACACAAGTTTAAGAGATTCAGATTCAAAAATACTATAATGGGCATTAACAATTCAAAAGTTACAGTTCTATTATATCAGATGCTAGCATGTTTGTTATTGCGATAGCTGTACAATGGCTGTAATGCATTAATTAGTGTTTCCAAGAGGTTGGAGATCAAATACTTTAAAATTAAGCTAATGAATTTATAGCACAATGATCGTAATTCACTAATGGTATCAATTAAATATCATATAAATTGCTATCATCAACAAAAATAATAACTCTGATGGTGCGTCTTTCATTAGCCGTTCATCAACATTCAATGTTAATGAATCATGAAGTAATACTAATGTTGTTTAATATTTTTTGGAAAGTGGGAAACTCTAAAAACAAACACACCCTCCATTGCTAACGAGAAAAGGTAAAAACATATTCTTCTAAATTAAATAATTAGTTACATAATTTAATAATTTTATATTAAATGAGAATTTTGTCGATCCAACTTTTAAATTGTAACTTCATATCATTTTATATTTTGTAACTTCATATCATTTTATATGTTTATATCAAGTTTTGTTTAAATTTTGAAAAATGTATATTACATCAATTTTGTTCTATAAGAATAAGGTATTAAATTATTTTAGATTAATATAAAATTTTATACTTATAATCTAGAATAAGGAACTTTCAGTTTAACGTAATATAAAATTATTAAACAATGTAATAGTTAATAAAAATTACACAGATGGTGTTTGAACCATCCTCATCCTCACACACACAGATATATATAAGGGATCCACTTATTCCTTAAAAAAAATTTGATGAACTTATTTTATTCAATAATTCATGATTTACATTAAATTTTAACGATGCAACAATTAAATTAATAATTCTTAATGTATATATCAAGTTTATTAATTTTTAAAAAAATTGATAACTATTTGATACTTCATTTTATTAATTCAAATTTATGCATAAACATAAAAATATATTATATATTAATTTGAATATGTATATATATATATATAATAAAGTATCATATAGTTTCTAAATTTTTTAAAATTTGATAAACTTATTTTATATATTAAGAATTTTTAATTTAACGATTAGATTGTTAAAACTTGATGTAAAATAAAAATTATTAAGTGAAATAAATACTCTTAAAATAAATAAATTTATTCTCATATATATATATATATATATGAGAATTATTTTTATGCCCTCCCTCCTTCCTCTTTTAACACAATTTTGAATCCTCATTATTTCCTCCAACGAGACACGTTCTTTAGGGGATTTGGGGGTTCTAAGAGAGAGGGAAACTCGATATAGTTGTAAATTGGGAACAACCTTTGACAATGGAAGAGTCATTCATTAAATTTATTAACTTAAAATTACCTGCCAGTTGTAAGAGGGGAACTCACTATTAAATTTGTCACTTAATACTCATCATATAGTATCTGTATCGGTAATAAAAATATTATACTAAACTTTTGTGAAGTTATACAGTTAACTTAATGAGTCCCTTTCTAGTGATGATAAACTTAGTTTGATATGTTATTTTTTAAAAAATTATATAAATTAAAAATTAATTTTAAATTTGAGAGATAATATCAAATTTAATTCAAATATAAGGTATACTATAGGGATTTAGCTAGAGGGTAAAATCGAGAACTCTTCAATATACTAATAATTGATAAAGTATAGTAAAAATATAAAAATATTATTAAAAGTATAATAATCATTAATGGACATATGATATAAGGGGGTATA